CTCCTTGTGCAAGGTGTCGATGGTCGTCTTTTGGACAACTGTCAAGTCAGCAGTCTTCCCCATGATTGTGTAGCCTATAGAACTAGACTGAAAGACCATTTAAAGGCTTTTGCAGGTGGTTTGAGTTAATTAGCTGATTAGAGTGTGGCACCAGGGGCCATCAATTTTGAACCTTTTCACAATATTCTAATTTTCTGATATGATGAATTTGAGATTTTCATTTGTTGTCATTTGTAATCATCAAAATTAAACAAAATAAACATCTGAAATATATGAGTTTGTATGTAATGTATGAATATAATATACAAGTTTCACTTTTTAAATGGAATTACTGAAATCAATCTACTTTTTCATGATATTCTAATTTTATGACCAGCACCTGTATCTTTCTGTCATTTAAATCTCAAGCATGATGAGCCGCACACTTACATCTTACATGATACTCTTCTGCAGCATTCAGTGAAATTATATACGATGGTTGAAGATGTAACTTTAAAGATGTTCATAATTTTTATTACATGCTGGTAGTAAAAGTATTTTAAGGTTTTAAGCATGTTCCCTTGTAAACTATTGCTTTATGACTGTTAATTTATGGTAAACAGTTAAATAAGGAAAACATAATTTATTCACTACAGAGAACAAATAGTGAAAAAGGCCTGAGTAATAGATCAGCCTTTCAGAAACAGAATAGAAGTACTTGTAAGGCTATGTGAGCTTTGTCTTTATCAGCCCTCCCCATCGGGCACATTAACAGCTCCTAGCACCACCTGTGCCTTTAACTTGGCAGAATTTTTTTTGCACACGTGTAGTATACTTAACCAAGTTGCTCTCATTACCTCATGCACCCACAATGTGAGCCATCCAAGCTATGGTATGCAGCTGGTGTGCAAGAGGACTTGTCAGGGACTAATGGGAAGAATTGCATGTAAATCATTAACTTGGGTCACCCTCATGTCACAAAGAAAGTAACGGTCACGAAATGACTCATCTCTGTTTAAGAGTGCTGCCTTAAACAGAAAAAAATCTGGGTTTGCAAAAGCTTTGTATTTTCCATTTTAATTTCTGATTTCTATTTTTTCTTTTTTCCAATATCTAACGAGAGGAACTGCAGCTGGATGACTTATCTTCAGTGGAACAGCTGCATTTCTCTGGCCTATGCATTGTGAGTTTGGAGGTGTGGAAGGACAGCATCATTGCTTTCTCTGATCTCTATAAATGGATGAGATCTCATCCTACATAATGATTGTTAAAGGGAAAGTCCAGTCATACTCAAAATTCAAACGTCTGAAAGTACTTTAAATATGAAATTATTACTCACTGTTCAATAAATGATGAAAGTGTTTTTAATTAGGAGTAATTTCATTTGAATGTGTTTTACCGGAGACATCCATGTTTTTCAAAGAACACTACTGCTACCTATCTGTTTGTGACATCATGGTGTGGTATCGGCTGTTGATCAAGTCCCAATGCTGTATCTGGTGGTTGTCACTATGCATTACTGTCCAAGTCATCTTGAAAACATTCTCCTTCTTTTATTTGAGTTTTTACGGCACTAGTGGCTCATTTTATGGATAGTAGGCTGACAGGACGCCTGAAAACATACTTTTTTGAAATGTTACATATCACGTTTTTTCTCTGGGCAGAAGTTTGACGGCAAATCCTCCCTCTTCAAGTTGGCAATCCAACAACCAGGACCTCAGTAACCCGTCCGTGGAGGATCATGATTTTTTTTACTTTTACCCGATGTATTACAACATCAAACTGCCATGCATGTGGGCATTGTCTGTTTAACAATAGCTCTTGTGAATTTCAATGGTGAAGTGCTCTCGAAATCTTAAATAATTGTTGTTGATTGCAGATGTGTCTAGTAGTTCCAACTGATTTAGCTTGTAAAGCTGGGAGGATGGCGCTAGGCTTACTGCACTGTGACATCACTGCCGGAAGATGTCAGCAGTGAGGTGGTACTATATTTGGGTAAAAATTGCCAGTCCCTCAGGCACGAAAATTATAATTTTTATTTTTTTTACTGATTAACACTAAATTCATTAAATCACATATTCGTTTTAGGTATAGATAATGATCCATTGATCATTCCTTGCTGACTGGACTTTTCCTTTAAACAAACACTACATATCGGAGTAATATTTAACTGATTTATAATTGTGTACTTCTGAAATGGAGGAAAAGTCAAACGCTGCAATACATTTATCAGCTTCTGTGTCCGACAAGCTCTTCTTAGAGCTGATCTTCTTAGGCTGTTTGGCTAAACTAAGCCTTTTTTTTATAATTCCATGAAACAAGCTCACTGAGAATGAAATGGAGCACAGTTAGTCACAGCAAAAAGCTAAGCCCTTAGCTATGTCTAAGAGAGAAACAGGACTAAGCACTGATAAAAACAGGCACACCATGATCATCTATAATAGAAGTTGTTGATGGCAGCAGCTCAGCTGATACTTTTAGCTGATGCTATATGCTAAACAGATCACCGGACCAGATAATGCTGATATGTAGAGAAAAATTCAGTAGTTGATATGACAAAAAAATGCAGAATTGCAGAGTAGACGTAGAAAGAAGAATAATGAAAAAGTAGTCACTTTGTCTTCTGGCAGTCCAAGGCTGTACCAGTGTAACTATAGAGATAGCTCTATAGTTATAGTTAGCCACTCTAACTAAGAGCTTTATCAAAAAGAAGAATTTTATGTCTAGTCCTAAAAGTACACAGGGTCTCTGTCTCATTGGATTTAAAAGGGTAGTTGATTTCACAAGAGATACGCTTGATAACTAAATGATCTGCTTTCAGTTCTACTTTTAGAAATTCCAGGAACCCCTTGTAACCCTGCTGATTAAAAGCAAAGTGCTCTATTAGGAACATAAAGAACAACCTTACTGAATTTCCCTTCCTGGATTAATAAAGTATAATTGAATTTAATTGAATTTCTGATGGAATACAGCTTGGTTATTTATGGCTTTATACTTACGAATGAGAAATTAAAATTCTGCTCTAGATTTAACAGAAAGTAAATGAAGGGAAGCTAAATTGCATTATTTTAAATTATCATAAGAAATCAAATTGCAGCGTCTCAGTTGAGCTAAAGGTTTTTAATAACCTTTTTGTTGACTTACTGATAGTAAACAATTGCAATAAGTAAGAAATGCAATACACAAAGTTTCTCAGCATCACCCCATGACAAGATATGTCTCAGTTTGTGCAGCAACATCCCTTTAAAATATAAGGATTTATCATCTAAAATTATTGAAGTCCACGTTAAGCATATTTAATTTTAAATCTCTTAACTAAACTATAAAAACTCAGCTTAACTTCTAAACTATTACTGTATATACACTTATCTAGAGGAATGTTGAATAAGGTTAAAAAACTAGTTGAGAACAATTGGAATGGGTTCAAAACAGTTCAAAGTGCAAATTAAAGGAGGTAGATGATTGAATCTAATAAAATAGAAAAACAGGTTAGGAACCCTTAAAATGGCAGGGTAACAGTTTATTACTGCCAGGGAACCCATCTAACTAATGGACACGCAAATGAGTCAGAGCTAATATGGTGGAGTATTAAGCTACAAGTATTCACAAAAGTACCATACCACCATTAATGTACGGTTAATGTATATAAGATGACTAGCGACATGTGAACTACTGACTAGGGTGCAAAAGTAACAGATCTGTGAGTGAGCTGTGTTTTAGACAAATAAGCCAATGTATGAAAGCAGACTTCTAGAAGATACTGTATATCTTGACCATTTTGTTTTATGTTCTCTCTTTTCATGCACCTTTTCCTGTCTCTATCTCTTTCTCTCTCCCCTTAGTTCTTATTCTCTCCCTCTTTCTCACCTTAAATCATTTTCAATACAATTTCAGATACAAGCAGCAAGCGGAACCTTACGGCTACAGTCATAGTGGTCTGCTTTTGAAAGCAAAGCGGTTGGATTATCATTTAGCTCTGGGACATCTATTCCCAGAGCCATATTGGCAAAACAGGACAAACACACATACACATAAAAAGATAAAGAAGCCTATATCTAACAGTCAAAAAGGAACTCATCTTAAAGGACTTTCTGGTCATATCTTAGCACTTAAGTCTGATAAAGTGTATCAGAGAACATATAATGTTAATTTCCTAATAGAGTTTAAATACTTATTGATATAATGTTTATCATAACTTCACTAAACATTTAAAAAGTATTTGCTTCTGGTTCCAACATAGTTGGTAACTAACTTCTTAGCGTTTCAGTTCAGCTTTTAAAACTTGGTAAAGCACATTAAAAAATGTTTAAGACAATTTCGAAAAGAACTCCCTATGAAAATGATGAGGAGTTTCAAGCCTTCAGGAAAGCTTTGGTATGTGATTTTTGCTGGCATGGCTATAAGCAGCCACTTAAAGTCATACTGCCAAGCAGCCACTATGTTCTTTGATCTTCATCAGTTTCTGTTGGGTCTGAAGTTTCAGTCTTTCCTGCAAAACCCAAGGTAAGAAAGATGCACTTAGTCTGACCTGTTGCATATGCTGTGGTCGTTTGAAAGCAGCCTTCATACTTTGGATCAAAGTTTGAAGAATAGTGTCTCTAGCTAGCAGGGACACAAGTCTCCCCTAGTCCAACTGCATGATTAGTGGGTCCAATAATATTTTAAATATTGTGAGCAAAGTTTAAATCCTGGGGCCCAGAGCATCCCATGATGTCTGAGAACAAGGGTGCCCAAGAGTATCCCCTCAAGAGGTACCATCTTGAAACTTTTAGATGCATCTCTTCTCTAACACACCTGCATTAAATGAATGCTTTTGCTGAGGTGAACTGTAAGCTGCAGAAATTCATCTGTTTGATCTGTAAGAACTAATTTGACATTGTTTGTTTCAAGTCCAAACGAGCTATCGTCACATTGAGCACAATTACTGTAGTGTATTCCAAATCATTGTAATTCTTTGAATATACCTAATGCTCTGATTCCACATCATCCACTCCTGTACATGTCTGTTCCATTGCAGACTGCCTCTGTGAAAAATAATGCCTACATCTGTGGTAACACCATCAAGCTCTGCTCCAAGTTCCTTAAGGCCCAAAGAGATTATGCATGCAAGGTCCAGCCAGAGCCAAGTTGACTGTGTGGGACAGAAAGGTGAGGTTTTGGAGTAGCCACAGAGAAGGTTGAACCATTTTTATTATTGAACATGAGTTGCTCCATTGAGTGAACGAATATGAGTGCAAAAAGCATGGTGGATATGGTGGATGTTGAATCTGAGGATAATATTTCTATTAGAAACATGTCACTGCTCAGCTGTACTCCCCTATGTGAAGATTCAAAATGATTAAGGATGCCATAATGAAAGAAAAAAACATAGAAGCCAGCCATATTGTCAAGGCGCAAAACAGAGGACCAGTGTTAATTTCGTCAACCATGACAATGACGAAAATATTTCGTCAACGCCTATTTTTCCCGTGACGAGACGTTAACGCACAAAAATTGCTTCCAGAAAATAAAAATATGACGAAAATAAAAAATGATTTTCGTCAACGAGACTAAGACAGGCGAAATTTACGAGCCATTGATGAATGGACATTAAGAAATGTAATTGTTTATGATTAATTTGTAAGTGTTTCTTGAGCTTCATAGAAGATTAAGCATTGTTGCCTTGTTTGTCCCTACATGGCGCCTGTCCCACAGTGCCCCGCGCCACTCAGTCAGTAGCAGGAGAGGGCTTATACTCATAGCTCAACTTTGCAGTCATTGCGGATACCGGTGTGCGGTTTGTTAAACAACTCCTGGATGTATAAAGCCATTTCATCTACAATGCAAAGGGAAACACCGGAGGAAGAACGCCACCAAAGAGTCTGTGGCTTCAAAATGGCAGGGGCCAGGCATCTGAGTAGCCAATATGCTGCCATATGGAGAAGGTTAGGAACAGGTGGGCCTGTAGTAGAAGGAACGTGTGTGTGTGCACGCACGGGCGCATGCATGTGAATGTATGTGTGTGTGCGGGCACAAGCATGTGGCTGCGTGTGTGTGTGTGCCTTCCTGTGCGTGTGTGCCTTCCTGTGCCTGTCTGTTTCTCTGTCATAGAAGAAAGATGTGCTGATACACTGGATATTAATCATTTAAATTTCTTCCTCAGAACTAGTTTCCTGACACAGTGACACCACAGCCAATTTAGACCTTGGGGAAGGAAGAGAAGTCTGTTGCAGAGATGTTGGGAGCACCCCCACCATACAAACCTGACGCCAAAGAGCAGAAAGCCCTGGACAACTCAATGGCAAAGTGGATTGGGCGTTCTGGTCTGCCTGCAAGGACCATTGAGGATGAGGACTTTGTGGATATGATGAAACAAGCTGACAAAAGGTTCAATGTGTACAGTGTGATATATGTTAAAAAGAGAATTAGTGTGTGGAGAAGTTCTATTCTGCACACTGTTATATAAATAAAATTGAGAAAAAGACATTTTTAACACCTCACTGAACCGATCCGTAGTGCCAGCATGCATCAAGTCTCCCACCATCATTCCTGACATTAAGAAGCCTCAGGTCACCTCACTCAAAGATTACCGGCCTGTCGCACTGGCTCCAGTCATGATGAAGTGCTTAGAAAGGCTGGTTAAAGAACACATCGTCTCCAGTCAACATTTGACTCGTTCCAGTTCGCATATTGACGGAACCACTTCACTGAGGACGCCATCTCTGCTGCTTTCCACCTGATCCTGGCACACCTGGAGGAGAAGAACAGCCAAGTGCGGATGCTGTTCCTGGACTTCAGTTTAGTTTTCAACACCATCATCCCACAACATCTGATGGGCAAACTGGAACAGCTGGGCTTCAATACACCCCTCTGCAATTGGCTGCTAGACTCCCTCACCAACAGACCTCAGTCTGTCAGGGTCGGACAGAACACCTCTGATGTCATTATTCTAAGCGCAGGCTCCCCTCAGCGCTGTTTCCTGAGCCCCCTGCTGTCACAATGATGAAACTTGACTGCGTCCCCAGGTTCACCACCAATCACATTTGGAAGTTTGCGGACGACACCACGGTGGTGGGCCTCATCAGAGAGGACAACTACCAGAACTACAGAGAGGAGGTGGAGCAGCTGGTGGACTGGTGCAAAGATAACAGCCTGATACTGAACGTGGAGAAGACAAAGGAGATCATCTTGGACTTCATGAAGAACCGGCCTAAACACACTCCACTGGTCATCAACAGCTCAGCGGTAGAGGTGGTCAACAGCACCAAATTCATGGAGGTGCAAATCACAGACAACCTTCCCTGGAATGTAAACACCACCTCACTGGTTAAAAGGACACTGAAGCGCATGTACTTCTTGCAGAGGATGAGGAGAGCCAACCTGCCCCCACCCGTCCTCACCACCTTCTACAGAAGCACCATAGAGAGCGTTCTGACCAGCTGTCTCACTGTGTGGTGTGGAGGCTGCAGCATCTGAGACTGGAGCAAGGTGAGAAGAGTGGTAAGAACAGCAGAGAAGATCATTGGGGCTCCTCTTTCCTCCATTATATTATTGAATACATTTAATCCCAGTGCTGCGTGTACTGAGCCTGTAACATGATAAATGACCCCTCACACCTCCACCATGGACTGTTTTTCCTGCTGCCCTCTGGGAAGAGACTTCGAAGCATCCGATGCAGGTCCAGCAGATTCCAGAACAGTTTCTGGAACATAAAATATAAAATGGGTCATAAAAAAAAAAAAAAAAAAAAAAATACCTAGGTGTTGGAACTGTAACTATACAGCCATTTTATGCATCACTATTTTTCACCACAGTGTCTTTTTTTTTTTATCACAATGTTTTTTTTTTGTTTTTGTTTTTTATCACTGATGCTTACCTTTATAAAGGCTGTTTTTAAAAAAAAATGAAAAATTCTAAAGAGCTGTACTAAATTAAGTTTCTTTTTGTATACACTTGTGTGTATAAAATGACAAAATAAAATCAGTCTAATGTCTTAACTGAGATAATTACAACCATACATAATAAAAAAAAAAAAAAAAAAAACACAATATTTACCAATACACACAAAACAATCAAATAAAAGTCCGGAATAAGTTTCCAATTGCTTTAACTCACTAATAAGCTTATTCCACAAATCAACACCTTTTATAGAAATACATCTTTCCATCAGTGGCGGCTGGCCAATAGAGGGGCGTAGGGTGCTGCCCAAACAGCCCAATGACCCTGATTAAGACATAAAAAAAACCAAATTAAAATTAAATTAGAAAATTAACATTTTTCGAAATAAATGATTAGATGTGCAAGATAAATGTTTCAACAAAGCTACGCCCTGAGCTTACAGGAACTGTCATCACAGTTGTGTGGGTGATTGAAATACTGCAAAAACGATCTAGAAATAAGTTAAAATGTCTTAAATTTAGTGTAATCACCCTTAATTTGAACAGGTTAACAGGATGATTCACCAAAGGCATTATTATTTTTACTCTTAAAATAAGTAAATTAGATAAAATGCACTTAATATAAGACAATTTGAATGTTTGTTCTGATTTTAAATCCAAACTGTCTTGCTTTATTGGCAGTGTCTCACTTACCTCCTCAATTCAAGAAAAAAGATATTTATTTAAAGAAAAAATTACTTGTTTAGATTTCAGTTTTTTGCAGTGCAGGCCGTGTCGCGGGAGCAAGGCAAACTTACCAAGAGAAGCTGGAGGTAAAACCGTTTGGACCCGATCAGCCTAACATTAAAATTTATCAGCAGTACAAAGACAGATGGAGATGGTACACTGTCTTTTTCCAGGAAAAGGTTTCCCTACAAACTTGGCTAACTGCATGCAGCGAGGCTAATGCTTTATTCTGCTGCATTGACTGCCTGCCTCCCTTTTCAAACGTCAGGATCTGACCCAGCATGGATAAAGATACAAAGGATTGATTTAAAGCACTTTTTAGGAAAGGCAAATACGCATGAGCAATCTGGGATTTACATGGAAAACAATATAATATGAATATGAATGAACAAATTCTTAGAAAATAAACAGGTTTTTGTCAGGGTTTGGTTGTGGTTTAGAGGACCCAAATGCAGAGGCAGAGAGGCTGAGGTGATTTCTTGTAGTTTTATTGCAAACACTAATAACAGAGGCAAAATCCAAAAATCCAACTAAAAATGTAACACAGACCAGAACCATGGAGACATCAGGGGAAACACGCACGAGGAGCCAAGGAGAGACGAGGTGAGAAGACAACAGCGACGACAGGACCAGAAACAACAAGGAGTGACAGCAGAGGGAGAGTATATATAGCTGACTGAGACAAAGGTAGGGTTAACGAGCGGATAAGGAGCAGGTGTGAGAGGAGACAACGAGGGAGCCAAGAGGAAAGGGACACATACAAGAGGGCAACAGAGGACAATAGAAAAACCTGAGAACTAACATAAATCTAGAAACTACAAAAAAAACAGGAATTAAACCAATAAAACTATGAAACATAGAGCAGAGTGAAGCACAACAGAACCAAAACCATGACAGTTTTATATATTAAACAAAATATAAAGCTGACTAATAACTTCTCCATTATTAAACTGATACAATACTTTCTGGGGTTTGTGACACCAAATTGGACCATTTGCCTTCACAAAACCTCAGAAGGGCAAGATTTAGGTACAAAAAGTAACCCTATACATGAAACTATGTTTTGTTTTTATAAAATGTTTTTATAATGTTTTTGGTTGTTGGCATTCACATAAATATACTGATGTGATAACTTTGGTTTTTGGTATACATCTATTTAAAATTTATAGCCCCCCCTAGAGAAAACTCCACAAGCCGCCACTGCTTTCCATCACTGCTGTTCTGTACCTGGAGTTTTAGGAAATATCTGTTCCTTTTAAGTAATACTTACTTTCCCTGCATTTTGAATATTGTTTGGAAGAACTTTTTTAATGTACCCTAAATATCAAGTTTAAAAATATTACACTCTATCAATTCATTAAGGTTTAATGTATTGAACTTTATAAATATCAGATTTGTGTGATCTCTGTGTCCACTTCCACTTATAACTCACATGGGTCTCTTCTTCAATAAAAAGATAGGTTTTAAATGTGATCCATAAATGTCACACCACACCTACAAACAATATGTCAGCTATGGTAAAACCACAAGCCACAAGCTTTTTCATTTAAAAAATAATTTTATCATCTTTTAAACAGCAATAGTTTTCGATATTTTATGTTTTATATCATCTATTTGAGGTTTCCATGTCAATGTTCAGCAAGAAAGACACAAGAAACTGAAATGTATTAGTTAATAACTTATCTGATTTATTGAGAGGCATTTGTAGAGACTACCAGAAAATGCTATGCAACAACATTAATTCATGTTGTTGCATGACCATAAATAAAAATACTTTTCTTATGAAAATAGTTTAACCTCTTACACCCTAAGGGGATATAAAAAAATTTCTGCCTGACAAAAACACACAAAAGTAAATAACTTATAGCCTCAAAGCTATTAGATTTAAGAAGAAACTTTTGGTACGTCTGTAAAGGTAAGATGTCATAGAATGGTTTTCTGGTGTCAGCACCATTGTAGCTATGACCCTGCCTGAAATATTAGGGACAAAATACAAAATATTTTGCAATTTTTGAACCTCGCCAAAATTTTCTTTGAAATAAACATTGCAAAACACTACCAAAATATTATTTATAGCACAAAAAAGTAGTACAGACTTTCAAATCTAAATGTTGTGTAAAAATATACAAAATGTGGACTCAATCAGATGAATCATATTTATTTTAGAATGGTATTAGTGAGAAATTTCTTAGGCGGAGAGGCCATTTTGGCACATTTATCCATAAATGTCACCAAACTGTGCCAAATATGTTTTTTACATCAAAACTGGGGGTTTGGTAAAACTACAAGGTCATGTAGCAGCTGGACCCGCCGGTGGGTCCGTAGGGTTCAAGGGGTTAATCATCAGTGGATATTGTCTTTTTCTTATATTCTCACAGTTTCATTTAAGATCATTTTTTTCAGCGCTTTAATGAAAGGTCCAAAAACTGTAATAATTTCAGCTTTAGTTCATTGGATGCTCAGGAATTAGTTACCTTTTGTTTTTAAATGTGGGTTGTGTTGGCCAAGTGGGTTTGAGCAGTGCCCTTATGCTCTGAGGAAGCTGCAAGTACCTGGCTTGATCCTCTCAGCCTCCACTCTGGGTTTCTGAGCAAAACCCTTAACCCCACACTGCTCCCTGGGCGACACACAACGGCAAGCCCACTGCTCCCCAAGGGGATGGGTTAAATGCAGAGAGTGAACATCACCATTGTAGGACAATAAAGGGATTTACATTTTTTTAAATTAAATGTCTGATTTTGTGTTTGGGATAAAACCTCACCTTTAACTGGTGCAATGACAGGTGAAAGATGAAGTCGAACATTTCTAAAAAAAATGCTGCAACAAACTGTATATTACTAATTTGCACATTTTGTCCTTTTTTTTGGCACAGGGCGTTGTGTAGAAATGGTCTGGATAACTTGTGACAGATTATCTGTTGTCACATCTGAGCAACATAGTTGTGAAATCTACTGACTAGTAAAACACAATCTTTTAGTGTTATATTAGCTTATTTTACTGTGTATCCACAGGGAAATATTAAGTATCCTATTCTGAAGTTTATATGTTTTTCTTCCATACAGTCTGAAATAATTTTATTTATAGATACTGTTCCCCAAGTATTTGGAAAAAAAATAAAATTTTCACAATTTTTTTTTTACCCAGTAACAGCTTTGTCCTTTAATTTCCCCAGAAAGTTGGTGATATAACAGAAAACTGTTTT